CGGGATGTGTGCCGCGTGGGGATGGGAGGCTTGCCAGTGCAGGAGCGGGATGGGATCCATGCCGTGCAGGGACAGGCTCCGTGCTGCAGCAGGATGGGATCTGTCCAAGCCCGTGGAGGGGCGGGATCTCTGCCGTGCAAGGACAGAGTCTGTGCTTGCGCGGGAATGGGATGTGGGTCATGCCAGGACAGGATCTGTGCATGGATGGGATCCAAGCCTGTGCATGGATGGGATCCGTGCAATGTGGGGCTGGGGTCTGTGCCATGCATGGATGGGATCTGAGCCTGTGCATGGATGGGGTCCGTGCAATGTGGGGCTGGGGTCTGTGCCATGCGTGGATGGGATCTGAGCCTGTGCATGGATGGGGTCCGTGCAATGTGGGGCTGGGGTCTGTGCCATGCGTGGATGGGATCTGAGCCTGTGCATGGATGGGGTCCGTGCAATGTGGGGCTGGGGTCTGTGCCATGCGTGGATGGGATCTGAGCCTGTGCATGGATGGGGTCCGTGCAATGTGGGGCTGGGGTCTGTGCCATGCGTGGATGGGATCTGAGCCTGTGCATGGATGGGGTCCGTGCAATGTGGGGCTGGGGTCTGTGCCATGCGTGGATGGGATCTGAGCCTGTGCATGGATGGGGTCCGTGCAATGTGGGGCTGGGGTCTGTGCCATGCGTGGATGGGATCTGAGCCTGTGCATGGATGGGGTCCGTGCAATGTGGGGCTGGGGTCTGTGCCATGCGTGGATGGGATCTGAGCCTGTGCATGGATGGGGTCCGTGCAATGTGGGGCTGGGGTCTGTGCCATGCGTGGATGGGATCTGAGCCTGTGCATGGATGGGGTCCGTGCAATGTGGGGCTGGGGTCTGTGCCATGCGTGGATGGGATCTGAGCCTGTGCATGGATGGGGTCCGTGCAATGTGGGGCTGGGGTCTGTGCCATGCGTGGATGGGATCTGAGCTTGTGCATGGATGGGGTCTGTGCAATGTGGGGCTGGGGTCTGTGCTGTGCGTGGATGGGATCCATGCCATGCATGGTTGGGGTCTGTGCCATGCATGGATGGGATCCGAGCCTGTGCAGGGGTGGGGTCCGTGCAATGTGGGGGCAGGATCCGTGCCGTGCATGGACAGGATCCGTGCTGTGCAGGGCAGGATCTGTGCCGTGCAGAGATGGAGTCTGTGCCTGTGTGCCTTCCCCAACCCTGCCCTCTCCCCGCACAGGTTGGAGCGGCTGCAGCGCATCGTCAGCAAGCTGCAGATGGAGTCGGGGCTCTGCGAGGAGCAGCTCAACCAGGCGGACACCCTGCTGCAGTCGGTGAGATGCGGTTCCTGCCGCCGGAGGGTTTCCTGGGGCGCCGGGCGGGGGGTCCCCGTGGCAGGCGAAGTGGCGGCGCCCTGAGCATGCCATGCCCGGCAGGACATCCGGCTGCTGAACGCCGGGAAGCCGCCGCAGAAGGCGGCCGAGATCGAGCGGGACCTGGACAAGGCGGATGCCATGATCCGGCTGCTCTTCAACGACGTGCAGACCCTCAAGGACGGGCGGCACCCGCAAGGGGAGCAGATGTACCGCAGGTACGGCCCGGCCCCGTG